GGTGGGATCCTGGACAGAAGAAGCCCCTCGAAGGTTGCTTCTGGGCATCAGGGCATCACCTGGCAGGTGAGGACAGAGTTGGCTCTGAATCTCAGGTAGATCCTCAGGCAGTGGGATCCTTGGGGAGGAGTGTTAGGCTCATTGAGTGGGAAGGGGACCTCCAGAGGCCATCCAAACCAACCCCTGGCTTAGTGCAGGATCCCAAACATTGCTCCTACGGGTGTTTTGGACTTCGAATTCATAGCTTCCCAGAGCTGGAAGGGGTCCCCAAGAGGCCATTGACTCCAGCCCCTTGCTTAGTGCAGGACCAGTCTGTGATTCCCAAACGTTGCTCCTCCAGGTGTTTTGGACTTCGCAGAATCCCGGAATTGGAAGGAGATCCCCAGAGGTCATCCAGTCCACCCAGCTAGAGCATCCCCAGAAGCAGCTTGTGGTCCAGCCTCTTTTCGGAAGACATCCAAAGAAAGAGATCCCGCCAGCGCTGTAGGCTGTAACTTCAAACCTTTAGAACGGGTTCTACCTTCCAAGGCAGCAAAGAAGAAACCTGCCCTAGAAAAACCCACGTCTTCACCTGCCAGGTGGAAGGACCAAGCAAGGAACTGGCCTGGCCTCCCAAGGAAGGTGTTTATAGGGTTCAGCTTTGGGGGAGCCAGGATTTGGGGGGAGAAGGTGGTGCAAGAGAGTGTCAAAAGCTTGCAAAGGGTCTGTGTCCTCCCTCCTTCGCTCCTGCCTTGTCCTAGAGCTGGGGTTACCTGGCCGATGCTCACCTGTGCCAGGTAGGATGGTCCCAGAAGATGAGAGCCCCCCAGGAGGAGAAGGAGAAGAAGAGGACATTGAGGACACTGGAGTCCCTCTCTTGTTGCAGACCTCAGAAAATGGCAGCCTACGGAAGGTGAGTCCATACCAAATCAAGGTAAACATTGTCCTTGGCAGAGTTTCTTACCTGGCATAGGTGTGCCAGAGTGGAAATTGAGAATATTATTATTATTATCGTGTGTGTAGAGTGCCTTCAAGTCATTTCCAACTTAACGGCAACTCTAAGGCAACCTTATCATGGGGTTTTCTTCCCACGTTTTGTTTAGAGGGTTTTTTGCCATTGCAGTCCTCCAAGGCTGAGAGAGTGTGACTTGCCCAGGGTCACCCAGTGGGTTTCATAGCCAAGTGGGGATTCGAACCCTGGTCTCTGGAGTTGTATCCAGCACTCAAGCCACTTACCCTGTGCTGGTTATTACAGTTGGACCGCCATATCCACCGACTCAACCTTTCATGGATTGAAAATATTAAAAATATATAAAAATTGCAAAGAGCAAACCTTAATTTTCTCATTTTATATGAGAGATACCATTTTACTACACCACTGTATTTAATGGGACTTGAGCATCCATGGATTTTGGTATCCACAGGTGATCCTGGAACCAAACCCCAGCAGATACTAAGGGCCCGCTGGAATATTATTGTGAGATCAGAGTTCGATTTCCACTGGGCCATGACCTTGGGTAAGTCACACTCTCTCAGCTTCCCCTAAGGGGAAAGCAATGGCAAACCTCCTCTGACCAAATCTTGCCAAGAAAAACGGCATGATAGGTTCACCTTAGGGTTGCCTAAGTCAGAAATGACTGTAAGGCACACACATACAACAACAACAACAACAACAATAACAAATAAATAAATCTGTATTTGTACTTGTAAGCCTCCTTGATTGCCAAGGCAAAAGGCAGGGTATAAGAAATAATTTATTATTATTATTATTATTATTAGCCCACCTTTTCCCCATTTAGAGATTAAAGGCAATTTACAGTAATTTAAAAAAATAGTCAAAAATTCACAAAATATGAAGGTTGAAAACTTATTAAAGGTATCAAAAGATTCATGATCAGATATAACATATGAGATAAGACATATTTAATTAAATTTATGGAGAAGTAATACTGGGGGGAAGTTAGAATGTTTAGGTGATGTGGATGTAGATGATTTACTGTTTATTTATTATTATGACATGATGATGATGATGATGATTTATTTATTATTTTATTTCAAGGATTTATCTCCCACCTTCCTCCAACAATGAAATTCAAGGCGGGTTACAATAATTTATGTTTGTGGATGTAACTAATGTCATAACATGTATAGGTACGAAGTTATGTATTTAAGATGTGCGTCAGAAAAATCAATTTAATTTTTTTTTAAGCATCAAAAGATTAATACCAAATAAAAATCCATTTTTTAAAAAAAAAATCAGCACATGAAAGCAATTTGAAGGTTGTACTGGATAAGGAGAAGTTTAGATGAGTTCCAGGGGAAGACTGGAAATGATGATTTTTTTGGGGGGGGACTACAACTCCCAGAATCCCCCACTAACACTGCTGGATGGGGATTATGGGACTTGCAGTCCAATATTTTTTTTCCTCTCCTGTCTCATGGCACCATAGAAAAGAAAAAAGCTAATTTTTTTCCCCCAGAGGCAGCCATATAGAAGTGGTTGTAATGTGGCACACCTTGTCTCCGTTCCCCAGAATTAATTGTACTTTTTAAAAAGTGAAAATCCTACAGTTCTTTTTCTCTCTTTCTCTGCTGCCTCTGATCCCTTTCCAAACCGACTTGGGCTAATGTTTTATGCTGGAGTTGTGTTGTGTGTGTGTGTGTGTGTGGTTATTTTTTCCTCCCTTTCCCACCCTGCAGGCTGCATGACGATTGGGTTTTTGGCAGCGCTTTGCATTTGCTAATATCCAAACCCATGCCAGAAAAACACAGTGACTTGACTTGGGTTTTCCAAGAGGACTTTTTGTGGGAGTTGATGGATCGGAGACTCTGCCGCCATGCCACCCTTGAGGCCAGAGAGTGTGCCATGCCCGTGGAAACAACCAAGGAGTGTGTCCTCTTGTGATGTTGCGTTCTCTGGTTCTCCAAAGTGCTTCATATCTATCTCCTGGGATTAAAGCCAGGCTGGTAAAAAACAAACAAACAACTTTTATAAAACACAAAGGGTGCATCTACACTATAGAAATAATGCAGATTGATACCACTTTAAGTGCTGTAGCTCCATCCCAGGGAATCTGTGGATTTTTCTCAAGATTGTTTTTATTAAAGATTTTCAAACAATGCAAAAGAATGAGTTTAACAAAGGAAAAACGAAAACAGCATCAAAACATGGATGTGATTTTTGTTACGAAAGCAAATCCTGGGACTGGTAGTTTTTGCAAAGTCTTTGGCCTTCCCTGCCAAAGCCTGCAGGTTCCTCACGAAACTACAAATTCCAGGATGCTGCAAACGTCACGGCATTTAAAGTGGTGTCAAATTGCCATTATTTCTACAGTGTAGACTGCGACTCTGGAGATCAGGCTTTCATTCCCTGCTTGGCAATGGAAACCCACTGGGTGACCTCGATCAGGTCACACTCTCTCAGCCTTAGAGGATGGCAGTGGCAAACCCTCGGAAGAAACTTGCCAAGAAAACCCCATGATAGGGTTGCCATAAGTCGGTAATTGACTTGAAGGCACACAACAACAAATACGTCATTAGGTTCCTTTCAGTTTGTACATCAAACACAAGGAACATAATCCATGTGGCAGATTATGTGTTTGTTGTCCATTGTGTATATTGTCTGCTTTTAATAAGGAATTTTAATAAGGAATTTACTATTTATATAAAAAAATTTGTTGTTGTGTGCCTTCAAGTCATTTCCTTCTTACAGCATCCCTAAGGTGAAGTTGTCATGGGGTTTTCTGGGGCTGAGAGAGTGTGACTCACCCAAGGTCACCCAATGCGTGTTCACAGCCGAGCGGGGAACTGAACCCTGATCTCCAAAGTCATAGTCCTACACTCAAACCATTATGCCACGCTGGCGTAGGTATATTACTAATTGATAATTCAAGCTATTTTTTGATAGGTCGGCTTTTGAAAGAAATCAACGCTGCACAAATATATCAGAGTAACTTTCCAGCTTGTGCACCATGCCTTGGGCAAGATTTGTCTGTGCTCTGCATTTATAGTTTCTCCAAGTCCTAATCATCATGAAATTGCCTCTAACTTAGAGGGAAATGTTAGCTTTCAAAATTGTCCCAAGTCATTAACCTGTTTGGTGACAATTGCTCCCAACTAGTTTATGCTAGTTTATTTTTATTAAACGTTCTCTGCTGGTTCAACCAAGGAGAGAGAAATAAAATAAAATGCCCCCCATTCAACTGGGTGCTTTAATATTTTTCTTGGCACAGCAAGGAAAAGTAGTGACAAATCCACAACTTGTTGCTGCTTGTTCATTTATTGTCTTTGTTTCAAGGAAGGACATCAGGTTTCGTGGGAAATTGGATTACTTATTTCTGCATTGGTTTGTTTACATGCTGCTGTCTGTGCAATTTGTTTGACAATCACTCAAGGCAAGATGTAGGTTTGTTGTTGTGTGAATTCAGGTCCTTGCTGACTTCTGGAGAACCTATCGCAAGGTTTTCTTGGTGCGTTTCTGCAGAGTGGATCTGCCATTGCCATCCTCTGAGGCTGAGAGAGTGTGGCTTGCCCAAGGTCACCCAGTGGGTTTCCATGGCTGAGCCAAGATTCGAACCCTGCTCTCCAGAGTCCTAGTCCAGCACTCCAACCACTGCGCCATGCTGCCTCTCGATGTAGGTATAGGGTAACTTTTTGCTCATGTTTGGGATTTACCTGGAGCACATTTGGGGTGAGTTTGGTCAGAGGCTTCCCAAATGCTGGGATGACAACCACAAAATAACACAATTTTAACACATCCAGAATAACTACTTCTCACTTCCTAGGGAAATAAACCTGTATAATGCACCTTCAGGAAAGAATACAGTGGGCCCTTGGTATTCCAGGACCCTCGCCTGGGTACCAAAATCTGTGGATGCTCAAGTCAGAAGCACTAAGGCTTGGACTTGGTGGAAAAGCTGCATCTCAGAGGTCCGTCAGGTGCATGATGCACATGTTGTGTGTTTTGCAAAGCTGGGAAGCAAAAAGACTTGGACCAAGGGATGGAGGGGAGGCTGCATCTTAGAAGTCCGCCAAGTGCATGATGCTCAGTGTTGTGTGTTTTTACAAAACCAGCAAGCACCAAGACTTGGGATGGAAGGAGAGCTACGTCTGAGAGGCCCACCAGGTACATGATGTGCATTGTTGTGTGTTGTGCAAAACCAGCAAGCACCAAGACTTGGGATGGAGGAAGGATAGAGGAAAAACTGCATCTGATAGTCCTGCCAAGCGCATGATGTGCATGGTTGTATGTTTTTGCAAAGCTAGCAAGCACCAAGACTTGGTCATGGAGGAGCTATGGAGGGAAAGCTGCATCTGAGACGCCTACCGAGAGTGTGATGTGTATTGTGTGTTGTGCAAAGGCAGCAAGCACCAAGACTTGGGATGGAGGGAAAGCTGCATCTGAGATGCCCACCAGGTGTGTGATGTCCTTTGTCGTGTGTTTTGCAAAGCCATCAAGCCCCAAGACTTTGGAGGGAGAAGGATAGAGGAAAGAGAGTCCTGCCAAGCGCATGATGTGCATTGTTGTGTGTTTTGCAAAGCTGGCAAGCACCAAGACTTGGAAAGAAGGATGGAGGGAAAGCGGCATCTCAGAGGCCCGCCAGGCGCATGGCGTGCATTGTTGTGAGGATAGGGTTGTCATGGTGATCCCCACAAATGGAGTGGCTGGACTCGCACTCGAGATAGGCACATTGCCTTTTATCTCCCTGGCTGGAAAATGTTGTTTTGCCACTGAGGTCTTTGTAATAACAACTGTTTCCTCTTCACAGATCCCAACCTGGGTTCCTGTCCTCATTTTGGCACACGTAACATGTTTGGCGGTTGTTTTTCATGTCTCCCCCCCCCCCCCCCCTTACACACACACGCACATCTCTTTGTCTTTTTCATACAATCCTATGGTTGTCGGGCTGCAAACTGGAGAGGGCTCCTATCTTTTTTAAAGGAGGGAATTTCAACAATTGTGACTTGTTCCCTGGTTGTTGTTGTTGTTGTGTATTTATATAGCACCAACAATGTACATGGCACTTTGCAAACAGAATAAAACATTTATAACTGTTTCAATAATATAAAATGCTAAAATATAGTACTAAAATACAATGCAAAAAAAAAGCCACACAGACAAACACAAAAAGCGTAGTAAGCAACACTTGCGGAAATTCCCTGTTGTTGTTGTTGTTGTTGTGTGTCTTCAAGTCGTTTCTGACTTAAGGCGGCCTTATCATGGCCTCTTCTTGGCAAGATTGGTTCAGGAGAGGTTTGCCACTGCCTTCCCCTGAGGCTGAGAGAGTGTGACTTGCCCAAAGTCCCTCAGTGGGTTTCATGGCTGAGCTGGGAATTGAACCCTGGGCTCCAGAGTCCAAACTTAAATAAAATAGCATGGCTTTTTCTGTGTTGTTTTGCTACTGAAAGTTGAGGTCTTGCATGCCTCCATTGTGCATTTCTGTGATGCTTGCAGGGAACAGATGGATAGTTTTTATAAAATGTGAACCCATACCTTTTTCTCCCCACCCTAAAAATTATTTGTGAGTCAGAGGTACAAAGTCCACAAGTGGAACATATGTGCCGGACAGAGCATCCGGCACACTGCCACTTTCTACGTAAGAGAAACTCACTCTTCTGTTTGTTTTTTAAAACCTTTTTATTGCTTTGGTGCTTTAAAAAAAAAAAGAAGCAAACTCTTTTTATTGCTCTAGTGTCATTTTTCCAACACTCCTGTTTGATTGTTGCCCTAGCACTATATAATTCCACTTTTAGGTGCTGCAGCTGCATCCTAAGGAAGCCTGGGACTTGCATTTTGGAGAGGTACTACAGCTCTCTGGCAGGAAAATCTATGTATCCCTCCCTAAACTTCACATTTCAAAGGAGCAGGGAGACTAGATGTCATCACCGCAAAGGAGGACAAGGCACCACAAAGTATAGGACACTCAAGAAAAAATGTGAGGCATGACAAAATAAAAGCTAAAAGCACGAATATAATTGTAAATGCATGCTTCTGAGTCATGATTAAAATGGAGGACATTTTGATATTCCTCCTGGACAGAAGGTTGAAATGAAGGACAAGTCCTGGGAAAGGTCACCCTGCATGGGAGGGAACCATGGAAATTAAAATGGAATCATAGCGCTATAACTGTGTAGTGTGAAATTGCTCCGATTTTCTCTCTTTGCAGAATAGATCACTGAATATGATGCTGTTGCGTGACCCAACCTGGCCTCCAGTGCTTTAGACCATTACTGACATCTGCTTTGCCCTACTTTGTCAGAGGCAATAAATTTCATTGTTCAATGCTACTCAAGTAACTTAATGATCCACAAAGGCCTTGTATGTTTCCTGTGTTTTATCTTCTTTTTAAATATGTTATCTACACCAGCTGCATTTGTATCTACAGAGGGAAAGAGATACGGGATGAGCATTCCTTATCCAAAATATTTGGAACCAGAAGTGTTTTGGATTTTGGTTATATTTTTTTCAGATTTTGGAATAGTTGCATATACTGTATATGAGAAATCTTGGCGATGGGACCCAAGTCTAAACATTACATTCATTTATGTTTCATATCTACCATATACAGATAGCTTGCAGGTAATTTTATACACAATATTTTAAACAATTTTGTGCATGGAAGTGAAGTTTGTGTACCCTGAACCATCAGAAAGCCAAAGTATCACTATCTCCGCCAGTTTTGGAATTTGGAATATTTTCGGATTTTGGAATTCCAGACGAGGGAGTCTCAACCTATATATAAGTAGTCCTGTAAGGTTTATATAGAAAATATGTAGGTAGTGATGTGAGTGTCTTGCATGGTTTGATTGTACAATGCAAAATCTGACCAATGCTTTAGAAAATGAGTTGTTTGGAGTACAACCCCCAGAATCCCCATGGCCATATTTGGAGAGCTGTAGTCCAAACAGCCCACTTTTCTTGATTCCAGTAATATATGCTTCCTTTTCAGTTGGTTTTACTTTTCTTTTATTTGGGAAGCCCCGTGCAGTAGTTCTCTATGGCATAGTATGATTCACTCTGTTCTGTCGGTGTTCTTGGGATTGTGACAGCATTTGCGAGTTGCACAACGCACCAGCGAGACTTGACTTGCCTGTTCAGAAAGGTGCGCCTTGCTTCTGTCCTGCCCTCCTAACTCTTTTTCTTTGCCCAAGAAGACTTCTATTGAAAGATGTCATGCAATAATATCCCACGGTATTGCTCAGTTTTGCGTCTGCTATGTAAGTTATAGATCAGTGGTTCCCAACCTTTTCTATGCTCCACACACCTAGGAAATGTTTGATTCATGTTCACATCCTCTACAAAAGTAATGTCACGTTTGAAGATGAAGAAGTCTTAATTTCTCATTTTTGAACCACAAATTGGACTGCGTACAATACTGTGGGCGAACAAATTGAACTTAAGAAAATAAGCTTTTAACTCAGTGCATAAAATGCAAATCTAAACTGAGCAATTGCTCCATTGTGTCCTATTCTCTGGAGCAGCAGAAAACAAGCTTGTTCCATCCTCCATATGACATCCCTTCAAATATTTAAACAGGGCTATCATGTCACCCCTTAACCTTCTCTTCTCTGGGCTAAACATACGGTTCCCTAGGTTGCTCCTCATAGAGCTTTCCAGACCTTTCACTATTTTGGTCACACTCCTCTGGACATGTTCCAACGTATCCATATCCCTCTTGAATTGCGGTACCCAAAACTAGACACACTAGACTCCAGGTGAGGTCTGACGAAAGGAGAACAGAGTAGTACTATTACTTCCCTCATCCTATATTCCTATTGAAGCAGACTAGAATTGCATTGCCTTTTTTACCTGTTGCATCACATTGGTGGGTCTATCCAAAGCCAGACAGAGCGATGCTATTACTTCTTTCCATGTGGATGCTATATTCCTGGTGATGTAGCCTAGAATGCATTTTGGTGTCTAGGTGTGTTGTAGAATAGTGTCCTTAATAGTTATTGTCATCCCCATGTGGAAAGTTGTTCTACAGTCTTTCCACTTCAATCCAGTATGGTGTTGTCTGGGAAGTTGTGGATGGTTAGTTTTTTTCCTTAGGATGTCAGTTTTATCCCTCCCATTTGTGTGTCCGTTCCTTCAGGTCGCCTGTCAACTTATGGTAGCCCCATGAATTTCATATAGTCGTCTTAGGCAAAGAATATCAGAGGTAATTTGCCATTGCCGTCTTCTGAAATATATCCCACAGCACCTGGTATTCCTTGGTGGTCTCCCATGAAAGAATTAACCAGGGCTGACCCAGCTTAGCTGTCAGGATCAGAAGGGATCTCATGTCTTCAAGGTATTTAGGCTTCCCTCCCATAGCTTGATGTATTGATGGCATATGGTGTGAAGACTCAGTCCATCTGTCCAGATGCCCCAACAATGATCATCCCCATAAGCATCTCTAATAGTACCTGGTGCCTGGGTTTGCATTCCTCTGTTTCATGCTACTCTCATATGTTTCTGAGAATGTGGATGCACAGACAGTGTCACAGCTGTTGTCAATGGACATCTTGGTGCAACTCGCCTGTGCTTCTGTGTGACCCAGAAGAGGACATCCTGAGCTTCTCCAGATGTTCTTCAGCTTTAACTCCCCAATTTTTTCATCCTTGGTCATGCTGCTGGGAGTTGCA